CCCCCCAAGAACCATGGGGAACCTCAAGGGTTTTGAATTCAAAATTCACATAGCACAGTGGATTTTTGTTGTATTCATGGCTGAACATTAATTTTGAAATAGATTTTTTATATTTCTTCTTTTGAGGAAATTACCGGGTTATGGCGTCCCCGCCACCCCCCTCCCTCACACCTGCTGCTGGGAATGTAGAAAGCTGGCTGTGGGGCTGGCCTCTCAAATACATCCGAGCCAGAGTTTGATGCAGTCATGAGCAGCATAGAGACATGGAGTTGCACTGTGGATATGTGTTCAGAATTGACCAAGTAGAAGCCACAGAGCATACAGTTTCCTAACCACACATGTACTGGGGGTGGCGAATTGTAGACAGGTCTCCAGGAATCTCCATTTGGAGATGGAAGCAGCATGGGGGGTACTTTGAAGGTTAGAAATTGAGGTTTATATTTATTTATGTTTATTTTTAAAAAATATATCTTTATTGATTTCAGAGAGGAATGGAGAGGGAGGGGGAGAGAGAGAGAGATAGAAGCATCAATGATGAGAGTCATTGATCGGCTGCCCCCTGCATGCCCCCGATTGGGGATCAGCCCGCAACTTGGGCATGTGCCCTGACTGAGAATTGAACTGCGATCTCCTGGATCCTGGATTGAACCATGCCTGGCCAGGCTGAGATTTTTATTTTTGTTTTTTTGCAATATCTTTAAAACCCCAGGTGAACTTGAGGGATACGTAAATAAAGTCTCCAAGAGGTGAACTTGCTGTTATAGACTTGATTTCCTAGAAAGTTTGCAGTTTACAAAATTGTCTTCCTCATATTATAACTTTTCCTTGACTATTGATGGGCCTTTGTTACTTTTTAAACCACTCGAGCATGCCCAATTCATCAGTAAGAGGTGCTGTTCAAATTGGTACTCAGATCTTTTCTAAGAGAGCATGAAGCAGGATCATGTTACAATCTGAGGGCTAGGACCTGGGTGAGAAGCTTGTTAAACAGAATTTTGGACCAAAAGTTTTGCTCAGGGGCTTAATTAGCAGGTTTTAAGTACAGCAAATACATGACTGGGCTCCAAGTAATGCCTCGATGTTGGATACACACTACCACAGGCTGAGAGCAGTGGGTGGGTTTGGGGAAACCCTGGTTTTCCTTGTAGACCCTCCTGACCAGTAGATTTAGAAGGGGGCAAATTCTAAGGACTTTTGTATGGGCT